TCAAAGCATGCGTATCCTTAAATGATAACTTGGTAGGTTCCATCAAGTCAGTTCCAACTCATAGTGATCCTATGCAAAACAAAACAAAACACTGCCAAGTCCTGTGCCATGCTCACTGTTGTTAGGTTTGAACCCATTGTTGCCACTTCAGTCCATCTCATTGGGGCTTTCTTCTTTTTTCCTGACCCTCCACTTTTCCAAGCACAATGTCTTTCTCCAGGGACTGGTTCCTCCTGAAAACATGTCCAAAGTATGACAGACAAGTCTCAACATCCTTGCTTCTAAGGTACATTCTGGTGGTACTTCCAACACAGATTTGTTTGTTCTTCTGGTAGTCCAGGGTACTTTTTAATATTCTCCAACACCGTCATTCAGATGTATCGATTCTTCTGTGGTCATTCTTTCTCATTGTCCAACTTTCACATGCATATAAGGGCTAATGAAAAATACCATGGCTTGGGCCAAGTGCACCTTAGTCCTCAAACTGACATCTTTGTTCCTCAACACTTTAAAGAGATCTTTTGCAGCAGATTTGCATACTGCAATACATTTCTTAAGCACTGAATGTTAATTGTGAATCCAAGCCAATTTCTTTGACAACTTCAATCTTATCTCCATTTGTTGTGTTAAGTGTTACTGTGTCGGTTCTGACACATAGCAACCTTGTATAGGGTTTCCAAGGAGCAGCTGGTGAGCCTGAACCACCGACCTTGTGGTTCAATCTGACATTGCAATCCAGTGCAGTAACCCGCAGCGCCACACCAGGATTCCATGTATCATAATGTTATTTAGTGGTTCAGTGGTGAGGATTTTTGTTTTCTTTACACTGAGGTGCAATCCATACTGAAGGCTATATAGTCTTTGATCTTCATCAGTAAACATTTCAAGTGTTCACTTCTGGCAAGCAAAAATTAGTCTTCCCCCAATCCTAATGCCTAGGATCTTACCAATAAATGGATTCTATTGTAATTTTCACACAAGCAGCCACATATTCTGTGTGAATGGCCACCTGCTAACTGACTTCCAGATGAAAGGTAAAATATCATCCCCCAATTTAGTAAAAATAAAAATATAAGTACAGTGTTGCTTGAAAACCAGTCCCCAAATTTTCTTTGTGTATGTATCAGGGGCTTTGGCCAGTTCCCGATGGTTTATGAATTTGACTTGATAATAATTAGCATGTTTACAAACATCTGGAAATACGTACGTCAGCCTATATAAAAATAAAGCTGTGGACAGCTGGGCAAGAACACTGATCTACTCGCCGAACTTTTTTCCAAGTTCCCTGACATCGAGGATTGCCAATAGCTTGCCAATGGAGAGTTTGGTTTCTGAAATGATAATTTGAAAAGGTTAATTATACTAAGAGCAAGTCTAAGAAAATTTGAATTCCAAGTGCATTTTAAAAAGACAATGATCACATGCTAAGGTTTTCTGCTTGGGTTACAAGGAACAGAAGTTGATCCAGTTCTGTTAAAAAACAGTTGCCGGTCAAGTCACCTATTACTGTCCATGACATCCCATATGTGTCAGAGCAGAACTGCTCCAGAGGGTTTTTCAATGATTGCTTTTACCCCAAATGCCTCTAGGTGGACTCACACCTCCAGTTAATGTGGTTAGCTGCCAACCACATTAACTATTTACACTGTTCAGGGACTTCAAGGATAAGGAGAATAGAATCAAACTGAGTGTGAGTGATTCACATAAATAGATGATAAAGTGTTTTATGTATGGTGAATCCTGGTGTGGCGCTGAGGATAAACACTGGACTTGCTATTTGCAAGGTCGGTGGTTCAAGCCCACCAGCTGCTTCTTGGAAACCCTATACAGGGTCACTATGAATCAGAACCAACTCAATGGCATTTAACAACAACATGATAATCCTTTTCTCTTTTTTTTTCTGCTGTTAATCAAATACTGCTATAAGTGAACCCTTCCATTTTTGTCTTAAGTTACTTGTTTAGGTTTTTTGTTTACATATTCAGGTTTCCTCTTCTCTCCTGGACCGTTGTTGTTAAGAGCCACAGAGTCTGTTCTGATTCATACAGATCCTGTATACAGTTTCTGAGCAGCGGCTGGTGGGTTTGAATTGCCAACCTTGCAGTTAGTAGTCCAGTGCTTATCTAACAGCAATACACCAGGACTCCTTGTTGTTAAGTGCCATCGAGTTGATTCCGACCCATAGCGACCCTGTATAGGGCCTTGCAGTTCAAATGGCTTTGCAGTCTACCACATTAACCCACAGAGCCACACCAGAACTCCACTAGGACTCCTAGATTACATGAAAGTAGCAAAATCGCTCCTCTCTATCCCTTGAATGTGCACACAATGACTCAACTTGTCCTTGTCCATCACTTGATACTTGAAATTTTTTCTTTAAATGGTAAGTTCTGCTATTGATGTCACCTGAGGTTTGGGGTAACAAGTATTTGTTCTTCTAACTTGATATGCATGTATAAAGTACTATAAAAATAATAATAGAAGAGCTGACTATTCATATAGGTTTAAATTAGAGGACTCCAAACCAAATGATCTATTGTAATCTTTCCAGCTCTTTGATTTCATAACGAAGAGGGAAAAAACTAGAGAAGTAGAAGGAGCAAAGCCAAATTATTACTTAATAATAATATTAAGTAATAAGATCACTGGTACCTCAGCCAGGAGTTAAGGTACTTTATGGGTACAAATTAGATTATAAATTCATTTAAACTCAAAATATGGATGAGGTACTCAGAAAAATATTAAATCTAAATATTAAGTTTCTATTTGATATGAATTCCTTCCCCATTTTACTATTCCTTCAGTGTACTCAATACAGAGGCCTTTAGGCACAAGTGACTAATAAACATAAATTCAAGTTATTAAATATTAAAGCATACTCTGAGTATAATGATAAACTGGAAAGGTCCCTATTTGAAATTTTAATCTGCATTTTTACCAGTTCCACCTGATATCTTTAAAACCTTAATTCATATGGTACCTAAATTGGTCTTTGTCCAATAGCTTCCCAGCATGAAGTTTTCTCTTAGCTAGTACTGGTGGTGGTGGTTACGTGCGTTGGAGTCAGTTCCAACTCGGAGCGACCCTGTGCAGGGTTTCCACAGCTGGAAATCTTTACAGGAGCAGAAAGCCCCTTCTTTGTTCCACAGAGCAGCTGGTAGAGTTGAACTGCTGACTTTATAATTCGCAGACCAACTTGCAACCCACTACCATGCCAGAGCTCCTTAGTTAATGGTAATAGTACTCAATTTAACTGATAAGTCAGTTTACGGGAGTGGGATAGATTTGCAGGGAGGTAAGAATGTTTTCTAAGGAGCTCTGGTAGCGTAGTGGTTACGAATCGGGCTGCGAACCTTAAGGTCAGCGGTTCGAAACTACCAGCCGCTCCGCGGGAGAAAGATGAGGCTTTCTACTCCCGTAAAGATTTACACCCTCGGAAACCCTGTACAGGGTCGCTATGGGTCGGACCCGACTCGATGGCACTTAACAACAACAACAAGAATGTTTTCTAGGTCAATTAAACCTACAGAATTGTAGGTTTATGACCCTGTGGAGCAGAGCCTGCCCATGTCCACTGCCTTTGAGTCAATTCCAACACAGTGACCCTATGTAGGGTTCGGACACTGTAAATCTTTATGGGAGCAGCCAGCCTCGTTTTCCTCCTGAAGCTTGCCTCCGTACTGCCAGGGTTCTCACACTTCATTGTCTGAATCAGCTGGGCAGGTTTCTGAAAACTATTGTCCATGGGATAAATCTGATTGTGCTTTTGTATGGACTTAGAGCGAGGAATGGTTTGTATATTTTTAAATGGTTAGAGGAAAATTTAAAAGAATATTTCATGTATATGGAATTTAATTTTAGTTTCATAAATACAGTTTTATTATATGAATCGTATCTTTGGGCACTCTCATGCTACAATGCATAGTGGTGAACCTGCAAAGCAGAAAATATTCACTATCTGGCTCTCCACATAAGTTTTCTGACCCCCTAACCTAAGAAAGTGATCGTTAAAAATCTACCCCTGCTTCCTTCAGTTGGTCTGAAGTGTGGCTCAGGAATCTACATATTTTAAACCACCATCCCACCAGATTCTGGTTCAAGCTGTCTCCAGAACTGCAAATTGGAAAATTAGGTTTGGGGTGGTCATTTGAACTCTCCAGATTGACCCATTTATCTGTTATGTGTGGAGTATCTTAGTCCCATCATCTGGAGTCTAGAATTACTTACCAGAAGATTGTCCTCACTCACAGTTTTGATTCCCCAGACCATGCCCTGATAATGCTACGTTGTTGTTAAGTGCCATCAAATTGGTTCCAACTCTTAGCGACCCTGTTTGGGGTTTCTGAGGAGCAGTTGGTGGGTTCAGTTTGACCTGGCAGTTAGCAGTCCAGTGCTTATCCTACAGTGCCCCACCAGGACTTCCCAATACGTCATAGACGGGTCAGCCATTCTGGACCCGGAGAAGCAGATCTCTAACAGCTAATCACAAGAAATGTTTGTACTTCAATCAATTTTCCTCACTTACCCGTCCGAGTCCAAACCATCTCCAGAACAACGGAGGCTCACAGAGTTCATAGCTGGAGGCTGACAATCCACACACACTGTGTATCCCTCTCGGAGATACTGCATCCATCGGGTCAAAGGTCGGTTCTCCATCGCACAATGCTGAGTCAATGACTCTGTCTTAAACTCCATACAGTACCTAGAGAAAAAGTCATCATTTAACTTGCTGTCATTTGAAGACCTATAATGCAGAACCACTTAGTGGCTCGCTGTTGTGATGATGCTGGACGCTACACCGAACACCAGCAGGGTCACCCATGATAGGCAGGCTCCAGTTGAAATCGACTTGATGGCAGCTATTAATTTATAGGGAATCTTGGCATGGCAGGACTGCACTGGAGCACAAGGTTAGTTTGAATAGCAACATCGGTGGTTCTAACCCACCAGTCGCTCCTTGGAAACTCTATACAGGGTCACTATGAGTTGAAACAACTTGACTGCCCTTAACCACAACACTTAGACAGCACCAAGTCTCAGGAAGCCTGTCAAGCCCAAGGTTATTTGGCTGACTGGAGAAGGTAGTGGAAAGTCTCTTCACAGAATGCCTTGTAGAATCGCTCATCCACTGAATAATTGACAACTACAATGACTCTTTTCTCTCTTTCTTCAATCCATAATTGAATTATCTAATCACATGATGAATTTCAACTGCAAGGTTGGTGGTTCAAGCTCACCAGCTGCTCTCTGGAAACTCTATACAGGGTCTCTATGGGATGGAACCAACTTGACAGCACTTAACAACAACAATGATAAATTTTCAGAAATTTGGATATCCTGTATCCTGAATGATCTATATCACTAACTTGTGTATAAAAGCATGTTTTAATGGGAAAACAGTCCTTGCTTATCTTTTAAAGAATTAGATATAAACAAACAATGGCTTGAGAACCCTTAAATCTGAGTCACAGGAGAGGCACTCAAGCCAGCCGCCCTCGCCAGTGTGCTGCTCAGCCTCACAGATATTCCCAGGGCCTACCCACACTCCTGTTCTGCCTCGCATGCATGATCCAGGTAGTAATAATGTGCTCTGACTTGAAGTCAAGCATCAAACTCATATGGGCACCACAGGTAAGAGTAGAAATGGGAATTGGAGATGTTTTCTGTGATAGAAGTTAGTGTCGCCTTATACTGAGCTGTGAGAACTTGTAACACTGGGTGTGACTAAACTCTGAAGGCCTTGAGCTAGCAACCAGACTTGAGTAAAAAGTTTAGAGTTTTCTACTCTAAAGTAGCAATTCTTCAGGAATGGAAAACAAAAAGCCTGGAATATTGTAGAAGAGACTTGTACTTTTGATTCCAATTGAGCTACGGTAGATTAGTTTCTTACCTACAGGGATGATGAGGTTAAATGGAAGGTGTCTGGAGAGTCTGTTTCAAAGAGTCTCCTTAACAATGGTACCAGTACTGGTTGCCGTGGAGTCATTTCTGACTCATGGTGACCCTTGTGTATTAGAACACAACTGTGCCCCTTGGTGTTTTCAATGGCTGAGTATTTAGACATACATCAGCAGGCTTAGCCTCGGACCTACAACCTTTTGGTGAGTAGCTAAGTATGTGAGCCATTTCCACCACCTAGGATAATGGCATGGACCTGTAGGATCAGCCCTGCACTGCTAACCGCTAGGTCGGCCCTTCAAAGCCACCAGCTGCTCCTCAGAAACCCTATACAGGGTCATTATACATCAAGACTGATGCAATGGCACCTAACAACAACAAGGACAATAGTAAAAACCCAAATCCACTACTACTGAGTCGATTCTAACTCATGGTGATTCTATATAGAGTTTCTGAGACTAAATCTTTATGGGCGCAGTCAGCCACGTTATTTCTCCCATGTGGCAGTTAGTGAGTTTGAACCACTAACCTTGCAGTTAGCAGTCCAACTCCTAGCCCACAGTGCCTCCAGGGGCTCCTTTTGGGACAATGGTGGTGGCTATGTGCCATCGAGTCAGTTCCAACTCATGGTGACCCTGTATAAGGTTTCCAAGGCAACAAATCTTTATGGGAGCAGAAAGCCTCATCTTTCTCCCACGGAACAGATGGTGGATTTGAATTCTGACCTTTTGGTGAGTAGCCCAACTCAACTCACTACACTACTACAGGTCCTTAGGGACAATGGTAGGTACAAAAACAAACCTCCATCCCACCGAAAAAAATACCCACCAACAACAAAAGTTGCTGTTGAGTAGATTCTGACTCACAGCAACCCTACAGGACAGAGAGGTGTCCTATAGTTTCCAAGGCTGTAATCTTTATGGAAGCAAACTGCCACATTTCTAATCAAGTGACTGATGGATTTGAACCACTAACCTTTTGATCAGCAGCCGAGTGCCACCAGGGCTCCTTATTCATTAGGTATCTTTAGGTATTGGGGAAGGTGCCCTGGTGGTACTGTATGTTTGGTGCTGGTCTTCTAACCTTAAGGTTAGTAGTTTAAACCCACCAGCCACTCCACCGGAGAAAGACGAGGCTGTTGACTCCCATAAAGATTGTGAGTCTTGGAAGCTCTATGTAGGATGGCTACAAGTCGGAATGGACTCAATGGCAGAGGGGTTTGGATTTAGGTATTGGGGTAGGAAATTTTATGATGCAGCTTAAGTCGACTTCAGAAATCTCTTTAATGAAATTTTCTCATAAAATTTCTTCCAACAAGCCTATAGGTTATGTATGAATATCCACATGTTTTTAAGAAGAAATGCTGAGGTAGAGCAGTTGATCGGAGCATCATGGTTAGTGAGAGGGAGTGTGGGCACTGCTTATCTGACAGCAGAACACTGGACTCAGTAAAGTGAGGGGTTCCGAACAGCCTGTGTCTCCAGGTGTTGACAGCCAAGAGACTCTCTAAGCTGATGTATCTATCACTTTAAAATTCACCAAATAGATGATGCTGGAGTTGGCAGTCCACATAGACTACAAGAAGTACATCCTTCACATGATTGCTAAATGGATTTCATCTGGTCACTTTTTGGTAATCAGACCTCAGAGACAGATAAATCTATCTGGCTTCCGCCAAAAACCAGGGAGGGTACAAGTACTTTCCCAACCCTGTGATGAGCAGTCATGTCACATCCAAAGTCAATGAAAAGTTGATCATAAAACCTAATGGACTCTTTTGTACTGATCTGATCACACAATTCAAAATGCATAAGTCAAAAAGCAAAAAAAAAAAAACAAAAAACCCACCACCAACAAAAACCACATTACCCAGCATCCTCTGTGTCTGTAGACCACTGTGGTGAAGCGGCTTGTCTCGTTCGCTCTTTGTTGAATGCAGATGTAGTTATGAAGGCAGGAACTAGAAAATAGAGAATTACATTGAATACATGGAGACTAAAGTACTCAGAGCAATGTTTCCCAAACTTGATTACATACCAACAGAATGTCCTGTATTTCAAAGTCCAAAGTCAATGGTGGAATGTCAGAGGAGGGAAGAAGAAGCTAAGTTACAGTGTCAGAGACCTAAATGTGATGAAGGTATGTGTGCCTGCAGATGTTAGAGAAGGGAACTGCAGGCCTTTGACAAGTATATTTGTGTGCAGTAATTAAACTTGTGTGAAAGGAAGGAGAGGGGATAGAAGAAAATCCAAAAAGAAAAGAAAAAATGGGGGGTGGGGGAAAGTGAGGTGATAGAGATCATGAAGAGAAAGAGAGACAGACATAATGTAATGCCAGGAAGTGAGATAGAGAAGAAAAAAGAACGGTAGCAAGAAAAATAAACTTAGAGAAAAGATGGGAGCAAGAGGAAGAAGAAAAAAAGATCAAAGGGGATGGAAGGAGAAACAGAAGACAACCAGAAAGAGGAAACATGGGAGGGGAAGAACGGAAGCAAAGGAGAGACTAGTGATGCATTCTCCAAGCCTCCCAGGAACCACATCTGGGAATGAAATGGTAGGTGTCCCTCAGCCTCAGGTAAAAAAAGCACAAGTGGCTCTCCTGTTTGCACTCCTCTCTCCACCTTACCCAACTCAGATGCTCCAGGAATTCTTTCCTCTGACTTCTATTCTTTCTCTCTCATTTTATTTTACTTGCCTGTCTCCTCCCTATTTCATCCCTGAGTCTGGAGTGGCATCAGTTACTACAGGACATGGAGGTGTTCTCTTGCTTCCGCTCTACTGTCAACTAGAAGGAAGCAGGGTTTTACCGTGCCCAATATTATGCCCCTTACGCACTTACACAAAAATATTGTGCAATGGATGAATGGATCAGCAAATGAATGAATGAAGTTATGGGATGCCAGCTACTATTTTGCTGTGATCTTCTGTCTCTGCAACTGAGAAGGTTGAACAGTCTCTTCCATTTTTGTTTCAGAAACTGAACGACACCAGGTGTGGGCTTGTGAGATACCACAGTCATCCTCAATGTGTGTAAACTGGTGTCAGGATGCTTGACTCCTTCCTGCCAATGGAAGGAACCCTGGTAGTGCTGTGGGTTAGATGATGGGCTGCTAACTGTACGTCTGTGGTTCGAACTCACCAGCTGTTTTGTGGAAGAATGAGGCTGTCTGCTCCTGCAAAGATTTGCAGCCTCAGAAACTCTATATAATAGGTGGGTTGGAACTGTCACACATTTCATTTGATAATTAAATGCTTAACCATTTGCAACTCTTTATCATGCTCTGCTGCCTCTGTAATAATGCAGATTAATAAGTTTCACAACTCTATAGATGAATCCTGATCAAAAGGGGGATAATGCAGAACAGAATTTCGAATTCTCATGGCATACAGACTTTCTGGAGCCATGGAGGCTGGTTGGACTCCTTAAAGTATTGCCATAAGATTATCTTAAATCATAAACCAAAAATATTCTCTGAAGTTCTCCTAAAACCAAATGAGTTTTGTTTAACTGGTAAAAAATGCCTGCCTCGAGCACTGAGCTCTTTTGCAATACATATGGATCCCACTGACAAACAGAAACTAGAAAGATTAGATGGGAGCTTAAGGGACCAAAGTTTATTTTAATGAGGACTGAAATCCAGAAAAGCAGGATGAGAGCGGGTGCACAATGAGAAGAATGGAATCAGTGTCTGAGCTGTAGATGTGAAACCTACTGACCTGGCGCATGTTCTGCTTTGTCTACTCTCAGCAACAACAAAAATAATATAGCTCCCTTACTTTATACAGCACACTTCCCAGGAAATATTAAACTTGGTTTTATATCCCTTATGGCTCTAATCACACCCTGAATGCAAAGTCAAATTTAAGAAAAGAAAAGAAAACTTTCTAGCTCAAATAAACTGAGTCCCCTTAGGCCATGCAAGAAAGACGGATATGGAGGTTCATCAGAGCAGGGCTCAGGAAGAGGGAGGGGCTGACAGAAGGCACAGAGAGTAATACCTTAATATGGCATCTTGTATTTTGATAGCTGACTTCATTAGCCATGTACAAAGTTTTTGTGCAGATTGGTGATGTAATAAGTCAATAATCTGTACAAAAACTTCGTAAAGAAATGTTATGGTGGTGGTGTGCTGTGGAGTCGGTTCTGATTCATAGCAACCCTGTATACAGTTTCTGAGGCTATAAATCTTTATGGGATTCCAGTTCTGCATGACAGCCAGGAGAGTGAGGTAGGAGAAAGTTCCGGTGAGAAGAGAGAAAGATCTCATGAAAGAAATGATCATATACCAGACCCACGGCTTTTGAACTATCATAAGATCTAGTATTTCAGTCTCCTGAACTCGCATTTTTGAGAAATCGCGCTGCTAAGGAAAAAAACACCCATTTTGGGACTCTCGCTCAAGGAACTGCGGGTCACTCCCACGACTGCAGAGTTTAGAGGGGGGAGCTAAGGCCAGTCCGTTCCCAAAGCGGCATTTCCAGCAGGAAGAAAAAAAAGGGGGATGCTGGACAAAAAAGCCACAAGAAAAGACATAGCTCCCCCCAGCCCCCCAAAATCTCCATGCCCTGGCTTAAGATCTCAATAAGATCAGGCAGGGCAGTTCACTCACAACACAGAGAGAGGGAAAAAGGCGGCGACTATTGAAGTCATCCTCCATCCGCCATCCCCAAACTTAGAAGCCCTGCATCTAAGCCCCCTGCCCCAACTCCCAGGTAGCAGCGGGGTCTTCCAGCTGCTGTTCTGGTGGGACAGGGAACAGAAAAAGTTAACCAAAGCCGCATCCCCGCTCCAAAGTGGTGATTTCTGTCCATGTGTTTATATTACTTCTGCTTTTAGTCCTTTTGATCACACATCCTTCCTGGAGGTGGGAACTTATCCTTCCTACATCACATAAGAAGCAGCAGCAATCGTGGCCATATAGCCAAGCTATAAGCATACAACATAATACTTCACCACTAAGACAAGACCCAACAACACCTGCTACACATTACAGACGAAAAAGGAAGCCCATCTCCTGATCATCATCATAATAATAATAAAAAATAACCATGACCAATAAGAAACAATCAACTTTATCGAAACATATCCAAAAACAGAAGAGAGCAGCTGACGTAAATGAGCAGGAAACAGACAAAGGCTTTATAGAGTAGGAGGAGCAGGTTTTGAATATGTCTGAAAGGGAATTTAGAAGAATGATATGGAAACAAATTCAAATAATCTGAAAAGCGGTCAAGGAAAATAAGGAAGAAGTAAGGAAATTACTGCAGGAGCAATCTAGGATTGATACAGCATTGGAAACAATTCAAAACATGCAAAAAGATGTCCAGGTGATCAATAATAAGCTATCAGAAATAGACAATAGCCTGAAAGGGGAAAGGAACAGACTAGAAGAGATGGAAGCCAGAACCAGCCAACTGGAAGAGAAATCTCTCAATACTGCCAAGGTAGAAGAGCAAGCAGCTAAAAGGATAAAACAATGTGAAGAGAGTCTAAGATTCATGCTGGATAACATGAAGAGGAATAATGTAAGAAATATTGGCATTCCGGAACAAGAAGAAGCAGAGAAGTCCACAGAGGAGATAGTTGAAGAGCTTCTGGGAGAAAATTTCCTTAACATCTTGAAAGGTGAGAAGATTAACATTCAAGAAGCCCAACATACCCCAGGAAGGATAGACCCCAAAATAAAGTCTCCAAGACATATAATGATCAAGCTCTCCAAAATCAAAGACAAGGAAAGAATATTAAAAGTGGCCAGGGAGAAAAGAAATTTAACTTATAAAGGCAGGCAAATTAGTTTAAGCTTTGACTATTCAAAACAGACCATGCAGGCGAGAAGGCAATGGGGAGACATATACAAAGCTCTGCAAGAAAAAAAACTGTCAACCAAGAATTGTCTATCCAGCAAAATTATCAATCAAATATGATGGTATGGAGACTTCTGATATGGCAGCACAGCCAGGAAAGGTAGGGACTTGCTCCGGTGGGAAAAACGAGTGGACTCTCACAAAGGAAACATTCATAGACCAGTCCCATGGCTTTTAAACTATCATAAACTCTCCTGGACTCACATTTCTGAGATAGCGCACTAATAAGGATAAAGAGAAGCGCGTATTTTGGGACTCTCCTGCGGGGACTGCAGGTTGCTCCCGCAACAGCAGAGTTTAGTGGGCAGGGCCAGGGCTGGCCCATTCAGAAAGTGGCATCTCCAAGAAGGGCAAGAGGCGATATAACTTCCTCCCGCCCCAAGTCTCCCCGCCCTGGCTTGAGAACCCAATAAAAATCGGCCGGGTGCAGCTCACCCATGCTCAGAAAGGGTGAGAAAGTCTGGAGAGTGTGAGAAAGTTTGAGGCGACTTCTTGACATCATCCATCATCCCCCATCTGTCACTGCAGCTAAGCCCCCTGCCCCCACTCCTAGCTAGCAGTGGGATCTCACAAAGGAAACGTTCACATACCAGTCCCACGGCTTTTAAACTATCATAAACTTTCCTGGACTCACATTTTTGAGAAACCGGGCTAACAAGGATAAAGAAAAGCGAGTATTTGGGGACTCTTTCCTGCTGGGATCACGGGTCACTCCTGCGACTGCAGCGTTTAGAGGGCGGGGCCAGGGACAGGCGCTCGGAAAGCCGCATCTCACAGAAGGGCAAGAGGCTATATAACTTCCTCCCGCCCCAAAGTTGCCCCACCCTGGCTTGAGATCTCAACAAAAATCAGCCAGGTGCAGCTCACCCACGCACGGAGAGTGAGAAAAGTCGGTGGGGACAGGGAACAGAAAAAGTTAACCAAAGCCACATATCTGCTCCAATGTGGTGATTTCTGTCCATGCGTTTATATTACTTCTGCTTTTAGTCTTTTTGACTACACATCCCTCCTGGAGGTGGTATCTTATCCTCCCTACATTCCTTAAGAAGTAGCAGCAATCGCGGCCATATAGCCAAGCTACAACATAATACTCCAC